ACGGAATCGGAGCTTCAAGTTGTTGTTGCCTCGTTGTTCCCAAAGTCGGACATACTTGAAGGCTACAGCATATCTCGTCCCACGAACCATTCAGAAGTTCAGAACTTTCTCGAGATTCACGAACCATGGCTCTATTAGCTGTACTTGAGCTCACAATTCTCGTAGGCTCCGCCCTGGCTCGTTGGGCTGAGGCTACTGAGCAATGTGGTCCTGCTTACACGAGCCAGTCCCTGCTCCGCCCTCTGTGCCCTCGACCCATAGACGAAGATGCAAGCCCAGAACCCAAGGCCTGGCTTCCTTGGACACATCGCCCGTACTGTGCTAGCTCGGACTATTGTGTATTTACAAACTCCGGATTTCACGGCAGTAGCAACTATGGCGTCAGTTTCATCAGCACTCCCGAGGTCGCCTCCAGCTCACTAGATGTGCTAGAGAGCTCATTCAGCATGCCTCTTGCCGTAATAAGGGACTCAAACGGCACCGGGCCCGCTCTTTACCACGTCGTGGATATGCCGGGCAAGGGAATGGGCGTTGTTGCGAGTCGGAAGATTGAGCGCGGGTCTGTCTTTATGGTTGACTATGCCAGCATCATAGCAGCGGTCGAGTTCCCGGAGAAGATGCCCAGGTTCCAGGGGCACATGCTGTTGGATAAGGCTGTCGAGCAGTTACCGGATCCGAAGAGAGTCTTGTCCTTGGCACGGAGCAGCTCGACCGACAGAGCTCTGATGGAAGACGTGATGAGAACGAACGCCTTCTCGATCACGCTCAATGACAGGCCGTGGATGGGACTTTTCCCTCTGATCTCCCGGATGAATCACGCGTGCAAGCCAAATGCGCATACCCGGTTCTCGCAGCGGTCCCTGGTAATGTCCGCTGTGTCACTTCGCGACATTGGACCTGGGGAGGAGATCACGATCAGTTATGCTGAGTTCGGGACAATGTATGGGCAACGGCAACATTCGCTCCTACACAACTGGGGCTTCCGCTGTACCTGCGCTCTCTGCACGGCGCCCTCTGAAGAGCTCGTCACATCTGATCGCCGGCGGGGAAGGATTGGAGAGATCAGGCAAGAGGTTGTCGAGCTTGTGCAGGCCAAGAAATTCGAACGAGCCATATCTATGAGCAAAGAGATGATCGACCTGGTGTTGGAGGAGGAGCTGGTCGCGCACCTTGGCGAACACTACGAGGTTTTGGCCAGACTGTATTATGCTGTTCGAGACAAAGCGAATACGGACAAGTACGCCCGGTTGGCCGTTGCTGATCTAGAAAGGTATGGTGGAGAAGAGGTCTACGGTGCCACTATAGGGGAACTGAAGGGTATCCTTCTTGAACTGGAGCAACTCGGGAAGGAGGTAAGTAGGCCTGGGTAGTCAGGAGAGGAGTTTCTCGATGGCTGGATATGGCCAGACTTAAGGGGATATCGCCATCCTTGGTGGCCATCTTGCGCCTGGGAATACTGAGCCAGCATGTCCAAAAGAAGGTCAAGATGCGACATCCGAGAGCATTTTCCATGCCCAGTCTGACTATATACGCGTGGGGTCAACTGTATAAAAAGCTTTCTTCGATCAGTTCTTGGCCATTGTCTAAGCACCTATTATCTTTCTGCAAAACTGGCTTTGTATAGAGGCTTGATCACATCATTCCTTGGCACATTGTGGCATCAGTTCAACCTCATCAAAACGAGGGTCTCTTTATGAAAGCGTCAACGCAGCTATCACTGATGAAGTATATGTGACCTCAGCCTATGAAATGCCACGTTATTAGTAGGTCTTTTGTCGCCGTTGACTGACATGGATCGCTTATGTGCTTTTGGTAAGCTAGTGTCCAGTTTCGCGATGGTAAACAAAGGACGAAGGGATACCATCTACCCATCCAGCAGGAAATAATGTACACACAGTCGTCTGATGGTCTATGAAATAGCTCCGTACGGCATACAGATGCTCGAGAAACATAACCCTGCCGAGCGCCAACACAATACCAAGAGATAAGCGGCCTCTCGTGTGACGCCAAGAAGGGGGAGTACAACATCAAGAGGTGTCGTGCATGTATTGCGCCATCGATAAGAAAGTCTGGGGAAGCCATATGCGCAGCTTACTTTACCATGTTGCAAGGCTTGGTACTGGTTGCAACATCATGGACTGCTGATCTAATACGTCTAGTATGTTGTGCTTCTGGCCAAGCCAACGGCAGTCTAGACTGATCACTCATGGTTGGGCGACACTTAGTGTTTATGCACGGTGTATGGAAGCAATATATATATCCCGAGACCACGGCTCTGGAAACTGGGGAACATGAGCTGATGCACTCTTCAGACATCAGGGCCTGCTTGATTCTCTAGCGAATTGTCACAATAGCATCCTTTCCTATCCATTCTATATCAACCCGCTACCATGCCTGTCATTGAACCCGCGCACAAGAGCGCAATCCCCAGTACTGGAGATGAGAAGAAGCTAGCCGTCTCCTCCAGCAACAGCACCTCAGTCGACGAACGAGCCGGCGGCGACGTAGCCGGCTATGGATCGTCAGACGAGCACATCTTCAGCGACCCTTCTCTGGCCGAGTACTGGCGTGGCGTGTACGAGAAGGCCAGGTACGAGAACCGGCATCGCTTCGACCCAGAGTACAAGTGGACAGCCGAGGAGGAAAAGAAGCTCGTGCGCAAGATCGACGTGCGTATTATGGTCTGGGCATGGGTCATGTTCCTGGCCCTTGACCTGCATCGTCGGAACATCAACCGCGCCATCTCGGACAATATGCTCGTAGAGATCGGTAGGTCTCGTCGCTTGGAAGCACCGTTGCTGTGACTCAGGGGCTGACACCCATTTCCCAGGCATGAATACCAACGACTTCAACTACGGTCAAACCATCTTCCTCGCCTGCTTCCTGGCCGCCGAGCTCCCCAGCGGTCTAATCAGCAAGAAGCTTGGCGCCGACAGATGGATCCCGACCATCATGTGCTGCTGGTCCATCGTCGCCGGCTCGCAAGCCTTCCTCACAAACCGCGCCGGCTTCTACGCAATCAAGGCCCTGCTGGGCCTCTTGATGGGCGGCTTCATCCCCGATTCTGTCCTCTGGCTGACCTACTTCTACAAGTCCAACGAGCTGCCGCTGCGGCTGGCCTGGTTCTGGACCGCCCTGAGCACCGTCAACATCCTCGGCTCCCTCATCGCGGCCGGCGTTCTGCAGATGCGCGGCATCAACGGCTGGTCCGGGTGGCAGTGGCTGTTCCTGCTAGAAGCCATTGTCACGCTGATCATCGGAATCTTCTCTTGGGGCCTGATGCCGCCGGGGCCGTGCCAGACGCGCAACTGGTTCCGCGGCCGCAAGGACGGGTGGTTTTCCGAGCACGAGGAGCACATCATGGTCAACCGCCTGCTGAGGGACGACCCGAGCAAGGGCGACATGAACAACAGGCAGGCAGTCGGCCCCAACCGGCTCTGGAAGGCGGCTAAGGACTGGGAGATGTGGCCGCTGTATCTCATCGGGCTGACGGCGTACATCCCGCCATCACCACCGACGACGTACCTCTCCTACATCCTGCGCAAGCTCGGCTTCTCGGTGTTTCAGGCTAATCTGCTCGCCATCCCGTCGCAGTTCCTCTTCGCCGTCAACCTGGTCGTCGTGTCCTGGGTCTCGGAGAAGTTTAAGGAGCGGTCCATGATCAGTTCCATCTCCAACATCTGGATCCTGCCCTGGATCGTGGGCCTCGTGACGCTACCCGCGTCGGCATCGCCGTGGACGAGATACGCGCTGCTGACGGGACTGTTATCGTACCCGTACTGCCACGCCATCCTGGTCAGCTGGAACGCGCGCAACAGTAACTCGGTCCGGACGCGGGCTGTGTCGGCGGCGCTGTACAACATGTTTGTGCAGAGCGGGAATATCATCGGTAGTAACATCTATCGCGATGACGACCAGCCGCTGTACCGAAGAGGAAATAGGATTTTGCTAGGGATTACGGTGTTCAACATCTTTTTGTTTTACTTTGTCAAGGGGTTTTACATCTGGAGGAACAGGGTTCGGGATACGAAGTGGAATGCTCTTTCGCGGGAACAGCAGGAGGATTATGTGCTCAACAGCAAGGATGAGGGGTTGAAGAGGTTAGACTTCCGCTTCTCTCACTAGAAAGCTGTGTATGCCTAGCTGTGCTTACTGTGCCTGTGTCCTAAAGGGGCTCCTATTACGAGAAGAAGAAAAAAGAAATGGTCAATTTGAAGGGCAAAATGATCGAACATTGTCTGTAACATGGCACCTTTAAATTGTTTAGATGGTATGACATGAATGAAATAGGGAATAAGCAGTCGATATTATGGGATGTGGTAATAAATGTCATGACTTGGGTTCGAACATGGAGCCTTAAGATGGTGCCCACATTTCAGGAGATCACTCCGACCACTCGGCCAGAGCACCCGTGCTCTTGGGTAAGGGACCTACACGACATCTTTGCTCATGAGTGCATTGCTTCGAGAGATAGAGTTGGCTAGTGTCAGCCTTGGGTGGCGGTAAGAAGGTCAGATGAACCTTAAGGGGTGGGAGAGGGACGTGCTTTGCTCATAGAGCCACCTCCTTGTGCAAACCGCTAAGACAAACGGTAGGGGAACCAACATGCTTAAGGTCGGGTGAACACAATGGCCAACTGTCGAAACAAGTCTCACATTCGTACTTAATGCCAGGCACTACAGACATAAGTGGTACGGACATAGCAGAAGGGTGACGTCGTAAGTCTAATGCAGAAATTAAACACACAACGCATTACTAACCTAGAGAGACAGACTATCCAAAAGATCACATCTCGATTGTAAGCTCTTAACGCGACGTGATATCTTACTCGTTTTTAGCGACATCGCTGCTACACTAGTGAACCAGGTAGACTCTCAGCAGAGATCAACCATCCTTCGAGGATTCTTCGGTGCGATGAAGCACTTGCTTAACATTTTGTCCTAGCATTGGTCCAAAAGAGACAGGCAAAAGTTAGTGAAGGCAAAAAAGAAAAGAAGAAGTAGCTGCGCTCCGTTTCGATCGGAGGACCTCCGGGTTATGAGCCCGGCTGGGGAGAGTTAGTTATGATGCACATGTTATCCTAAGTGAGTTTTCGAGACTTACCGCGCTTCCACTGCGCCACGCAGCTGGTGATTGTTGAACAGGGATGCGCTAATTTTCTCTATTGAAGGTCTGCCGAAGTAACTCTCCATGACTCAAGGGAGCAAGAAGTTTGAAGTTGGTAGGAAGGTTGGCGTCGACGCGACTTGTTGTCTGGTCGGAGTCACGTGTCGAACAAGAGTGGGGCGTCACAAAGCTGTCATTTCACCAGGGCAGCTTCCACTTTGTGTCAATTCAGACTCAACATCCATCCAGCTCGACAGGTTCTTGACCATAGGACAGGCACGCAACATCTTCAAGCATCTCTCCTTATACCGGCTAATTAGGCTGTGCATTTTAAGAAGAATTTGGTAGGGCGGAAGATACAGATGGCAGATGCAGCATCTATCCACCTACTGACCCATAGGTCCACTCCTGTTTTGGACTTCGGCCACGACATCAACCTTCCGTCATCGATAATGTCCTCACGACAGCGCCGGGTTTCCTGGAATAGCATCAAGCCCTGTCCTGTGGTTAGCATTGCACAACCCTAACTCCAGAAGACACAAGTGCTTACATCCATCAATCTGCTCTTCAACAACATCCTTCACCGAGCACGAGTTCATCGCCGTCATGGACTGCGTCTTGAGCGTCGGGCAGTTGACGTAGCACGGCGAGTCCATTGCGCGCTGCAGCGCATCGTCTTTCCAGCCAAAGACGTAATCGCCGTGCGTGCCGTAGCCGGTACTGTCTCCCATGCTCCAGTAGAAGGGCTGCTGACCGTCCTCCCATTCGCTCGGGTCGTTGAACTGCCGCGTGTCCCATATTGTCTCGTACATGAGCTGCGGTACCTTGACCGGGTGCGTTGCTGGGCAGGGACCCTGGGACTCGAACGTACCGCTCGCCGGGTATGCCATGTGGTCCTGGTGGTTGGGCGTATCGAGGTTCTTGCCATCCCAGCAGCTGGACAATGACCCATCAGTTTGCTTTCTTCGCTTGCTGTTCACTTTACTCACGTGGGAAAGCGCAGGTTAGCCATGATTCCAGCAGGGCAAGGCTTATCTGGTAGATTCATCGTCTCGGGAAAACGCGTCCCGGGGTTTTGCAAGCAAGTGTATGTGAGCTGCCGGAACTTCTTCACCTCGGCCTTGCTGCGGGCCATGGAGTCGCCGATGAGCATCCGAAACCCCTTCTTGAAGGCCGTGACCTTGGACTTTTGCTGATAGTCTGACAGACCATCTTGCATGCTGCTGCTGGTTAGCTTTGGACACCGCCACACTCCTACCAAGAGACTCACTAGTATACCGTCATGCCGCCGTTCGAGTCCTCGAAGCCCGCATTGCCAATCTGCGGCACGCGGTGAAAGGAGCCGTTCCGAGCCTTGAAAAAGAGGACTGCCGTCCAGTAGTTGGAGAAGTCTTCGGAGAATTGGCAGGTCGTGCAAGTGGAGTCATTTGGCATGTCCTTGTCGGGGGCCATTGTCACGTTGAAGGAGTTCTGTCGCAGATTTCAGCTGGCACCCTCCAAGACGCGTTTCGGGATCGACTCACTCCTCCGATGATCTGGTGCAGATGGGGCGACGGGTTGAGGCCCGGGTTGACCAGAGGGTCGAGACGCTCAACGACGAGTTGGGAGCACCCGAATCGAAGGAGGGCATCGGTTCGCCCCAAGAGGGCCAGCGAGACAAGTATACTCCAATGCATCGTTACTTGATGACGATGACTACCAACCGACGATGATGCAAACAACAGTGGTTGCAAGTCAACAAAGAAGTTAATGCGACTGTATGCTAGAAGGCCCCAGAAGTTACAGGCGAAGCGCTCTTTCTGGCTGGCACGACCATTCTTATCCGGCTTCTAATGCTGTGGCCCGCCATATCTAGGTCTTCCAGTTGCCCAGGTGCCAAGATCTTCACCCAATCTTCGTTCCTGAGCCGCTTTGGAACTTCGAAGATGCCCGATAGATATGCGGTGCTCAACGTGTCTGCCGTGAACCAATACGATGCGACCGCCAGGACAGTCCCGGATTATCGGATCCTCTGCACAGAACTGCCGTTGCTTGGTGCGCATGTTATCCAATATATTTACTCTAAAGTTATGGCACTCCCCAATATCGACCCTGAAGGGGCCCGGTTTTGACCATTCGCTCTCCGTTTAAATGTGAATAAGCCGACCTGGTTAATCCACCACAACAGGACATATTAGCCCATATTCTGATAGGCACTCAGATCTGACAAGCGCCAGCTATGGGCGTCAAAAGAAATCCCCGAGACCGTGCTCTCGATGGCAGCGCCCGTGATTTGCTTCGAGGCTTGCACGAAGAGGCAGCTGATCACGATGTGCATACTCCATCTTTGCCATATTTACATGAAGCTCCCCTGAATATGGCTTTCGAACTACTACATCACCCTGTATAAGGGTGAGCCCGATGCGGGAGTGAACGGCCACCTTTGGCTCGGTTCCTTGTTGGTCTGGGCGAAACCAGAATCTGGCGGGTTACCTTGCAGAGTGATCAAGCTTTCCGAATGTCTGGGAATCTTATTCTGCAGGTCGAGCTAGCCGGGCTTCTAGGGCTGTTGATCCAAGCGGCTTGTGGATCGATGTGGCGACGGGGTCTATCATGCCTCAGAACGCAGTCAGCAGTCCCTTCCCGCGCTTGACAGCAGTGCTGAAGCAATGCAAGACCTGGATTGTCTGGATCGACTGGCCTTTGATTGTCTGTGCAGCATGTGCTCAGGAATGGAAGCATGACTTACGGGAGCCAACCATATCCAGCAGACAACACACCCTGAGCTGGCGCACAAGTCCAGGTCTCAGAAAGACTAGCAAGTTGTTGTCAAAGCCTGAGGGAACACCAATACATGACTTCGCTTGACCATCATCAACAGCAATAGTTTCTATCGTTGCCAACCACTCGGAATCTCCAAGTTGTGCACGAGTGTGCCGTTTCCACAATGACTCGGTCGTCAGAGGTGCGCCTACGGTGATGCGGGCATGGTCTTGACAGATAACTCGTCACATCATGACGCGGAATGAAGAGACAATAACGGAGGAGAAGAGCGAGCGCAGGGCTGTTACACCCATGCTCATCGGCGACTGTCTGATGGCCGGCAACTTGTGCCGTCCGACCTCCAGGACGGCCTCAGCGCAGGGGTATTCTCGCTTACAGAACAGCCAGTCATCAAGTCCCAATGAGGCTTCAGCTTGCTCAACAATCTTACATGCAGCATGACAGTTTGCGCCGATTGTACTGCGGCTGCCGCAGCGACTCGCGAGAGGCCCGCCGATATAGAGGCAGTCTTTCAGACGAGAGGAGACTCCTATTCAGCTGAAATGCCCAGAGAATACGAGCAGCCCTTGGCGAATCAAAGAAAGAATTTGGGCCCATGGCACTACTCATGGCGGTGTGCTTCTGTTGTTGAAGCTGCTGTGACCTGTACCTGGTCCCAAAGCGGCGGGTCGACCCCTGGCCAACCCATGACCTTGGAGAGCCAAATACTACACCGCCGTTGGACGGCTGTAGGGTCCCGAGCAATAAGCCTTTTAGCGTACCGTTCAAAAATACGATGCCATCCAGCGTTTGGATGTTTTCAGCTGTTTTCAGGGTCCAGGCAATGCGGTGGCTTTTGCACCGGCGCTGCATTGGTCAATCGGCTCGACCGATCCGGTCGATGGGCCGACGTCCGTCCCCTTTTGCCCCAGAATGTGACGGTACGCCAGGCCGTTGTTAGCTGAATCGACAAAATTTCACCGCGCATAAGCTCTGCAGTAGCTCTGTGCTTTCTTGGAGTAGCGTAGAGAAGCGCGCCTCGGGACACCACATGGGGACAGCTGTGGATGCTGGAAGTGCGCCGTCGTCATCGATACGATACTATTGATACTAGGTATCGAAACTAAAGCGCTGACAAGCTTTTCACAAGATCAGACGTCCAGCACTAGCAGGACCTGAACCAGCCCCTTGGGCTGGTGATTGCCGCTAGGCCGTCTGCCATATCACGGCAATCCTCGAATGTCTATAAGATGGCCCTTCAACCCGGTCATGGCGCCATGAAACCTGGAAAAGAACAAGTACACACTCGCTCAAAGCCCATCCCTCTTACACAAACCACAAGAGCCCAAAGCCCGACATCATGAAGCTTCAAACCATCCTGGCCGGCCTCTTTTGTGCCTCAGGCGCACTCGCTGCGGTCAATACCACATTCAATGCCGATGGAACGATCGAGTCTGTCGTCTACTTTGAGGGCCAGCTAGCGAAGCGCGACTGCACGTCGAACAACTGCCTCCGCGCCTATAAGGCCCGCCCCCTGGTGGCGACGAGCTTCTGCAACACCTTTACGGCGTCAGTTGCCACTGCAGTGGCCCCTTTCACGCAGTGCTCGAACGCCCTGCAAGCCAGCTCTGCTTGCTCTTGCTTTGTTCCGGTCCGTCCTGATTCCATATTATAAGACTAGATCTCCCGCTAACAGGCTTTGTAAAAGCCAACAACGACATCTACGACGTCTACGACGTCGTCGACGTCGACATCCACTACCTCTACGACATCAACGGCGCCTCCTCCGTGCGGAACCCCGGGCACTCCGTGCACTTCCAACAACTTCCAGCAAGTTTGCTGTCCCGATGCCAACGGCAGCCAGGGCTGTGAGTTCCTGGGTGGGGACCTGAACAACGGACATTGCTTCCTTCCCTGAGGTAGCGAGATTTCGGGCCCGACTCATGTTTCTCCCACAGGTGGCTACCATTGGGTGAACGGGCGTGGACTGGCAGCTTGTGAGGGCGTCTTTTAGATTCCTGTCCTATCTTTATATGTGATTAGCGGGATGGGTTCGATATATGGAGTTTCGTTCGTGACTTCACGGTTTTGATTACCAAACAGCGTATGATAATCCCTCTGCTCAGGGGCCTCACGTGTGTTGTTTAGCTCAATGCCAATGATCTCAATGTCAAAGTTATTATGTGCCATGAATCAACAAACTACTTGGTGCTCAGATCAACAGGAAAAGCTCGTCTAAATTAGGTGCCCTGGCTAAGGATCCTTTAAGGAGTGACAATA